TGGGTTCCCTCTGCTTTGGCAGAGTCTCCCTCTCTCTGCTTAGCCTTTCCCTGACCCCCTTCTAGGTAACGGTAGATCCTGGCCCTACCAGCGAAGGCCCAGGACAGAGTGGTGTGATCACCTAGAACTAGGCGTAGCCACTCAGACCACGTCTATTTCAGGATTCCACGGCCCTCTGTGAAAACCCTTTGGATGCAGAGGTTCCTCGAGTGTGTGAAATGGGATTTTTTTGAAGGTCGAATCGAGTCCTCCTGAGCAATTGAACCTTTCCTTACATTTGCTGGGTTTTGACAGCATCACTTCCCACTAATTACCCGGAATAAACAAGGACAGCCATGAGCTGCTCGGGGCCTGGGTTACTGTCTTCCTGAATCAGTCGCCCGAGGCAGGAAAGCGAGGCCAGGGGCAGGCCGAGGCTCATATATGGACACAGGCCCTGGAGGGGCTCTAGACCGGACGCTAGCCACGAAGACCGAGCCCTTCGCGGGATTTTCTGGTCTAGAAGAGCTGCTGCCCCCGGTGGTGATCCAGTTCCTGCTTTACTATTGAAGGCACTCGAGCAGCATTCCAACGATCGCTGTGCAGACGTCTCGAGGGCTCCCCCAGAATCTTTCATGGGGGGGAAATAGACAACTTGAATACTTCTTGCCCTCAGCCCTTGTCTGAAGGAATTTGTAAAGACCCAACACTGTCGTTATCTAAACACTATCTATTACTTCTCCTCTTGGTCGTATTTCTCGCATATCTAAACCCTTCATAATACAGTTCATTAAAAAATCTGGAAGATTCTCAAGACAGAGAACACTAACAAATCTCGCATGTTGCTGTGTCTTTCTTGTTCTCATTTTCTCATCTCTACAATTGTATTGCCTTTAACAGTTTATTAAACGAGAACTTAAGAACCTGATCGTGTTAAGTAGGTCCTATTTCTATCGGTCATGTTTGCAGATGGATTGTTAAGTGAAAATGCCGAAACAAAGATTTGGACAGGAGTAGCTTTTGTAAGGAGCTCTTGCATTTTGCTTACCCAGTCCTTCCTTGTCCCTTTGGAGAATTGAGTGAATGTTTGTTATGCAAATGAAGAGTGAGTTGAACTTACTGTGAACCGAAGTTGCTCCAGTATGCTACTTGTGAATCCTGTCGCCTGTTTCAGGCAGACACACACCCATCTTCCTTGTCTATTCATGGGCATAGTGATTCCCCATGTTGACACCCATGAGTGGTGTTGCAATGCACATGGGAGAGCAAATATGTCTTTCGGGTGCTGATTTCATTTCCTTTGAATATATACACAGAGGGGGGCTAGCTGGGTCACGTGGTAAATCCATTTGTGTGCGCTTTTCCGAGGAGCCTGCACACCGTTCTCCGTAAGGGCTGTACCAGCTTGCATGCCCACCAGCCCTGTGTAAGGATTCCCCTCTCTGCATCCTCACCAGTATTTGTCTTTTTTTTCGTAAATCTTTTTGATGGTAGCCATTCTCGCTGGAGTGACGCAGTGGGTGGCGCATTGTGGTTTTGATTTGCATTTCCTTGCTGGCCAGTGATATTGAGCATTGGTTCCTGCATTTGTTGGCCATGTGTATTTCTTCTTCCAAAAAATGTCTTTTCGGATCCTTTGCTCATTGCTTACCTGAGTTGTTTGTTTTGTTGTTGAATTTTGAGTTCCTTTTATACTGTGGATATTAATCCTTGGTCAGATAATTTGCAAATGTCTTCTCCCATTCTGTGGTCTCTACTCTGCCCATCGTTTTGCTGCCAGTAGCTTCTTGGTTGATGTAATCCCGTTTGGCTACTTCTGCTTTTGTTGCCTGTACTTTGGGGACCTTATGCAAAGAGATCACTGGCTATGCCAACGTCTTGTAGTGTTTTTCCTAAGTTCTCTTCCAGGAGTTTCACAGTGTAGGCCTTACATTTGGATCCTTTCTCCATCTTGACTTGATTCTGAATCGGGTGAGAGGGAGGTGGCCTTGTGTGCGTCTTCTGCGTCCGTACAGCCAGTTTTCCCAGCACCACTTACTGAAGACTGTCCTCTCTCCAGTGTAGCTTTTTGGAAACTTGTCAAAGATCAGTTGACTGTGGATGCATAGGTTAATTTCTAGAACTTCTGTTCCATTGTATCATTCTATATGTATTTTTATGCTGTTTTGGTTACAGTAGGTCTGTAGTATGGCTGGAAATCTGGTAGTGGAGTGCACCAGCCTTGTGCTCCTTGTTCAGGTTTGGTTTGGTTTGGTTTGGTAAGGTCTTTTGTGCTGTCAGGTGAACTTGGGGATTGTTATTTCTAGTTCTGTGAAAACGCCATTGGTATTTTGCTGGGGATATGTTGAATCTGTCGATTGCTTTGGGTAATACAGACATTTTAATAATCTTTCAATCTGAACATGGGATTGTACCCACTTCAATTTTTTTTTCACGAGTGTCTTGTAATTTTTATTGTAGCGTTCTTTCACATCCTTGATTAAATTTCTTCTGAAGTATTTTAATTTTGTGTAGCTGTTGTGCATGGTACTCCTATAATTTCTGTCTCAGTGAGTTCAGCTTTAGTGTATAGAACGTTACTGACTCTTGTGTAGATTTTGGATTCTGCAACTTCACTAAAAGCGTTTCTCAGCTGTAACCGTCTCTGGGTGGAGTCTCCAGGTTTCTCCCCGTGCAGAATTGTGTCATCTACAAGTGGGGATAATCTGACTTCCTCCCTTCCTCCTGTGTGTCTTGTCTTTCTCGCTGTTGTCTAACGGCCATGGCTACATTGAGCAAGAGTGGTGAAAGTGGACATTCTTGTCCGGTACCAGTCAATATGAAGTTAGCCATGGGTTCACCATATACAGCCTTTATGATGTGGCGCCATGTTCCTCTACACCTAATTTGTTTAAGGATTTTTATCATGATGGGATTATTTTGATAATGAGTGTTGTAGATACTGTTTTCATTTTATTTATATTTAATAGCTTCATTATGCCAACTCAGATGACAGAGAATTTTGTCTTATCAGTGGGGGGCATTATAATAAGAATTCTGACAAATGCTATATCTAAGCATGTATTATGTAAATTCAGTAATTAAATATAAATTAAGGTGTCATTTTCATTATATTCACAGGCGAGAGTTATGAGGTGATTTTGCTTTGAAGGTCTTCTGCCTCATTATAACTAACTTATTCTTTTCCTTGTTATTTTCTTGGTTTTTTTTTTGTTGTTGTTGTTTTTATAACCACTGAGATTTTTAATCACTCAATTTTGTGAGGCAGAAAACTTAGCCCTTAGATATAATTATCACATAAATGTTTTTATAATTGCCACAAATGATGTAGCTTGTATCTCCCCAAATTGCTACTGATCAAAGATAAAAAAAAAAAAAACAGGTACTTGTAAAAGTGGAATTTAAAGGTAAGGGGTTTTTGAGACAAAAAAATGTTGACATCCTTGCATTATTATTTTTTCATGATAAGCATTTTCCACGAATGGTTTAAAGTGCCCTTATATTTTAAAAAGCTCATCTGTAAATATTGATGGTACATCTAATTCTGAGAAAAAAATTATATAATAAAATAAAATATATATAAATATAAAAGACAGAAATATATATAATAAATATAAAAATAATAAACCCCATCTCAGTTCAGGGAATCACTGGAACTATTGATCTTTGCCACCAAGTGTGATTGAATTTTTCAATTTCATGGATGAGCTATTGAAAGCAAAAAGCTGTTATGTCCGGGCCAGCTGTAGCTTCCGATGCTTAACCACAAATACACTGAACGTACATTTCTGAGGGCTTGAACAGGGCAGATGTAGGCAAAGCAGGGACTTGCCTTCAGAGCACCCAGGGGCTCAGGGCTTCCAGCTGGGAGGACTCATTAGTGTCACAGCCAGGGCTTCCTCTCTCCTTGCCTGTCCCAGCCCCGGCACCGACACACACACACACACACACACACACGGAGAGGCAAAGCCCTGGGAGTGGGTCCCACGCAGGCTCGGTGTCCTTGGCTGCCTAATGAACTACCCGCAGACACAGGGGCTCAAAACAATGAACTTTCTTCCCTCGCAGTTCTTGAGGCTGGAAGTCCAAACTGGCAGGTGTCCTTGGAGCCAGACAGGGAGCCTGCCTGCTGGTTGCTGGCCGTCCTCGCGTTCCGTGGCCTGTGGCTGCACCCGGAGCCCAGCTCTGATGGGGCGCTTCATGGCCATCTCCCCTCAGGCCTCCAAGCGCTGGCAGCCCTCCGCCACCCCCGGGGCACATGCTTCCTGGGGAAATACCACAGTCTGAGGCTGAGCTCCTCTGAGAAGCCACCCCCCACGCGCTCACGACTGCAGGCTGTGTCCATGCGCACGGTGCGTCCATCCTTAGGACCCGTCTCAAGCGTAAGCTCACAAAGTGAGAGCCCTGGACAGGTGGAGAGAAGCTTCCAGATGAAATGTGGGGACCAAAAAAGCATATATAAGGGGACAAGGATGAAACACAAACCATGCTGGGAGACAGAGAAGATCTTCATAAAGATTGGAGAAGGTATCACAGCCGTGAAACAAGACCGCGCTGCTGTTTGTAAAAGAAGCAGGCAGTAAAATAGGGCTTTGATTTTAACATTATGAGATGAGAAATAAAAAAAACTCAAAGGAAGTTTTGAAAATTCAAGTTGAGGCAATATCGCAGAAGTAAGAGGAAAAGGAAGAAAATGGATGAGGAAAAAATCATTGTAAAGGAAACACAGTACTGGGAGGGAGGCACCCATAGGCACTGAGAATCTCTTAGTGCTTAAAGAAATGTATTCCAGAGAGAAGCGGCCAGTAAAACTGGTGGAAACCAGTTCAGACCAGAGCAGATCACCGGGGCATTCTAGAACTCTAGGGCCAAACAGAAGCCTCCATCAGGTTCCAGGGACAGTAATCAGGTTCCACACGTTCAGCCGTTAGAGCTGCCTGCTATCCGTAGCTTCAGAGCTGGCATGTAGGAGGCAGCAGGAAACGCTTGGGATCGCAGAGGGAAGCGCTTGCCCGCTGTCCAGTGCTGTGCGCAGGTCAGTTACAGGCAGCACGGGCGCGCCCAGGTGCCCTCTGGCCTCCTGCTGGGGGCTTGTCGGCTGCGCCCAGCTCTGGTCTGTCTATGGCCTGATCCTCCTGCTTTGCTAGCACATTACCTGCCGCTGCGACGTCCGTCCTGCAGCGTCCTAACGCTGCTCAGGTAAAGGAGGTCGTCAGCGCTCTTGCCACGAGGATCCAGGAAGGATGCAGTTAAAAAACAAAACGGCCAAATCGTCCACACGCTGAAGCCAGGACTGTGAGTAAGCAGATGGATCACACTCCAGTGACACATCCAGAGCGTGGAGGACGTGGATTCTCCTTGAGAAGAAGCTGAGTGAGATAGAATGCACACGGGTTCCGTGTGCATGTGTCCAGGCCACCCTGAGACGCCTCCGCTCTCCCACCGTTGGGTCCCTGTGCAGCTGACTCTGCCCGGGCAGCTGCCTCCTCATAGGTCACTCACATCTGCGCGCTGTGCTCCCTGTGTGCCTCGTGACCTTGAAGAATCTGTGTTGGACACGTTTCTCTAGACTTCTACAGGTGTGTGTCACCGTAGGATCTGAGAGCATTCGAATTCAAGACAAAATTAGAGTAATTAATAGCTGAATTAAAAATTAAGTTCTGGTGCTGGGTCTTAGTCCACCCGAACGAGGGTGGACTGGGTCCGAAGAAAGGTAAGTGCGCCGCTCGCCGGTTCCCCAGCCTCCCAATCCCGGAGACAATCAGATGCAGCGGGGAGTCAAGTCAAGCAAGCAAGAACTCCGTTTATTGGCACATGGCAAAGCCTTTTAAAGCACAAGACCACATGATTACTGGGGCAGGGCTTAAGGACCAACCAATTACTTAAAAGGTCATTTTACAGGGCGACTTTTTACAGGACCAGCCATATGTCTGTACATTCGTCATCAGTTGTCGTCACCTCCCTTGATGCTGCACAGCCAATCAGCTTTGGTGGTAAACGACTTTGGGTACTGCCCACCTTACTTCCTTTGGGCGCCATCTTTGAATTGCCACATGTGCCTAATTTCCCCACATTCTGGAACAAATTCATCTTGTGTACTATATATAATAGTAAACTGGATTCATTTTTAAGTACAAATTTATAGTTGCAGAAAATTTAGAATCATCTAAACAACATAGTCTCCCAAATTATTTTATTTAAAGATTTGCAGGAAATTGCCAGGCAAACCACAAATGGGTGTGAAATGTGAACTCCTCTCAATTACTCTGTGAATTTAGAGATGAAATTTAAAAAGAAGTTTAGCTGGGGGTGGGGACAATTCTATATCCAGCCACAGTGTCAGTTCCCTTCGAGGATGGAATCCGCACATTTCAGAGACACACGTTCCCAGTTTACCTGGACCTGCGGTTTCTTAGAAAACTGTTAGATAGTGTGCTGCCAAGATAGCATCGTGAACCATGGTGCAGGAAGGATTCAGGACACGAGGGAATGAAAGGGTCCCCAGGATGAGCGAGCGTGCCCACGGCGGTGACCGCGCACCGTGCCCCAAGCCGAGGCTGCTGCAAGTGAAAATATCCAGAGCGTGTTTGCATGGCAGGTGGGCAGCTGGGGGTTGGATTAATTCACAGTGGGAACAGAGAGAGCTAAGCAGAGAGGCAGAAGAGAAGAGAGAATATTCAATCCAGGACTGAAAGACGACGCAGGGCGAAGGAAAACATGGTTATGTCGCCGTGTTCAAAGACAAGCTTTTATTTTATTTTTTGACAGAGAGAGAGAGAGAGAGAAAGGTCTTCCTTTTCCGTTGGTTCACTCCCCTAATGGCTGCTAGGGCCGGCGCTGCACTGATCTGAAGCTGGGAGCCAGGTACTTATCCTGGTCTCCCAGGCAGGTGCAGGGCCCAAGCATTTGGGCCATCCTCCACTGCCCTCCCAGGCCACAGCAGAGAGCTGGCCTGGAAGAGGAGCAACCGGGACAGAATCCGGCGCCCCGACCAGGACTAGAACCCGGGGTGCCAGCGCCACAGGTGGAGGATTAGCCTAGTGAGCCACGGCGCCGGCCAAAGACAAGCTTTTAAAAAGTCAATGTTTCACTAGCCCAAGAGCCACCGGTCTCCGCCACGCACAAGGGCTGGTTAAATTCGCAAAGCGCACCACCTGCTTCCAGGAATGTGGCGCGGCCCCTGCACAACTGTGTCCTCTGGATTCCTCGGGTGGCCGGCTTCCTGAGTGGTACAAAGATTCCGAATTTCCTTGCCCCCGACTGAGTGCTCAGAGAGTTCCCGACTTTGCAGATTTTACGTCCAGATTTCCTGGGGCTGGGTTCGGCCTCCCTGTATCGCGGTTCACAAATCCTGCTCCTGGCTCTGTGCTGGGAGACTCGGGGGGCTCCTTTCCCCTAATGAACCTCGAGGGGCCTCGCAGAAGATGTTAGTGTGTGCGGGGATTTAGAAACTTCACTGATCCGACTCCGCGAGGGGGAAGGAAATCTCTTCTTGCAATTTCCATAAGGCCAACCTAGCTAAATATAAATTTAAGAAGTAATTTTGCCCAAAGCTGCATTTTATTCATACTTAGGCAGCTTTGTTGATTTCCACGGTTTATTAAGTGTTAGATAACAGCATTTGAAGGAAGAAGATAAAGCAATTTCATAGTTTACTCATATGATTAAGCAAATATTATGTTTCTCTCTTGTGGGATTTTAAGCATGTAATCGTAAAGCCTATTCCCCAAATATAGTGTAAGAACTAATTTATCTTTTTTTAACTTTTTATTTATTTGTTTGAGAGTTAGACTTACAGAGACAGGGAGAGACAGAGGGAGGTCTCCCATCCGCTGGTTCACTCCCCAAACGGCCACAAAGGCCAGAGCTGGGCCGATCCGAAGCCAGGGGCTTCTTCCAGGTCTCCCACGTGGGTGCAGGGGCCCAAGCCCTGAGTCATCGCCTGCTGCCTCCCCGGGTGAACGCCAGCAGGAAGCTGGTGGAGCCAGGACTTGGCTCTGTGAACACCACGCCCTTTCTCCTTCTCGACGGAAGGGAAAGTGGACACTCTCATTAAGGTCACTCTCTCCTCTGTGACCAAGCAAACAGAAGCTGTGTAGTCTCGGGTTTACCGGGCGGCGGGAGGCGGACCCCTCAGCCCTTGGAGCCGCTCGCTCATCCTGACACTGCAGAGGCTGAACACGTGGCCGCAGGTCCTGCCCAGGGACCTTCACCTCTGGCCCTCACTGCGGCCCCGCCAGCTGCTTTGCCACTGCTGCCTGCCAACTCCTGTCCGTTTCCTTACTCACCCGCTTGCTTCTGTAGCTGCTGGGGGTGTTGGCTTGTGCCGTCCGAGTCATCAGTGACGCGACGTCATAGCTGCACACTGCCCCACGGTCCCATGTGCAATCCCATCGATCCTGAGATGCATGCTTAGTGGCTCGCTAAGCTAACAGAATTGGTAGGGGAAAACAGCGGGAAGTCAGATGAGACTGGGCATCCCAGGAGGACTGAGCAAGGTATAAGTCCCGGATGAGACAATGAAGCAAAGCTTGGGGACTTGAAGGTTGATTGATAGCGGAAAGACAGCCAGCAGGGCGTTGTTCTAAAACACAGTTACGCTGGACCTATCCTGGTTTTCTCCCTTGTGTTTCAGGATGTCAACTGTCTTAGGCATCCCCCAGAAGATTCTAGAATGAGTGTGGATGTGTCAATAACTGTTAAGGAGGAGGGGGGTAAAGCAGGAGAGACCAGGACAGGGAAGAGGGCAGCAGTGGGGAAAACCAATAAACAGGGAACCTCAGTCGGGGTCCCACAGACAGTGGCCTCCGCCTGATGCCACAGGGAGCTTCAGGTTGTAAACCAACCCCTGGAGGTGCAAGGGACCTGGCCCTCCGTGTCCTTGCGCCTGGCCTGTGCTGGCCAGTAGCTACCTGACAATACAAACCCCCAGGCTCTTCTGGGTCCCTGCTGTGTTAACAGCTGAAGGCAGTGGGCAGAGGCCAGCCACAATACAGGGTGTGAGCAAAAAAAAAAGCTCACCAAGGTAGAGGAATGCACAGAAACAGGCAAAAACTGGGTAGAGTGGTCTACAGAGAGGTAGGCAGAGCTCCGACAAATACCTTTGGCTAAAATTACTGTTTAAGGTAACCTTGGAACTTGGGAGAAACCTGCTGTAAAATTTCTCAAGAATCAGCGCCTACTAACTCGGCTGGCACTTGCGAGTGGCACATTCTTGGGCTCCTCCAGTGTAGACGTCTGGATAACAGAGTCAGAGAACAATCTCTTTACTGAGGCACAGGTGTCAGATTCTTGTCCCTGCCCCGACTGTCCATATCTTGGCATCACTAACCTTGAACAACACATGGCTTAAGCTTTTGTGGAGATGCCTGAAATGAACTGAATTGTGTCCCCACCACCAGCAGCAGATTCATACGTCAATGCCCTAAACCCCCAGTGAGATCCTAGTTCAGGCCAGGAGATGTCGAAGGTTACACGAGGTCATAGGTGTGGCCTTGATAGGATCCGCAGGAGAGAGCTCAGGTCCTCTGGTCACTTGGCACCTTGATCTTAAACCTACTATCTATCCTCCACAACCGTAAGAGAGAAATCTCTCTTGTTTAAGCCCCCCTGTCTGTGGGGTGGCAGGACAAGCATGTTGGCGGTGTCACACGCCTACAGTCATCTGTAAGCATTTTTTTTTCTTCAGGAAAATGCAAAACTCCAAACAACATCCCAGAAACCATCTTCCAACACCAGCTTGTCCCTGGCTAACAAACAGTAATGCAAGTCATCTTGTATGCACTTTCACGATATTCATCGTGAATCGTGCAAGATTGGAGTGCAGTTTTGCCTTACACCTTTCCTGGTTGGACCTAGTGTTTCCTGTTTGTCTCAGTGAGATTGTTCTTTCTCTGCCTTCTGGGCATCCTGGAAGAGACTGGTCTCCAAGACACTGCAGGAGGAACTGGGAGCTGAGCAGACAATGTTCCCTGGCCAGAACCGCTGCAGAGGTCCCTGTAAAACTTGAACACAGAGCCAAGAGTAGCTTAAAAAGTCCAGGTGCTTCCTAGAACAGGGACCAAAGTGTCCATACACACAAAGAAAACGTTCTGTGTACAGGCACGCTGCAGAAGAGGGAGTTAGCCACGGGGCTGACGTCTCGTTCACTCCACAACCCGATGCCCCATCCTTGTGGAGCCCAAACAGAAAGGCAGGTTGCTCTTGGAAGCCAGCCAGCAAGGCTCTCTAGGGCAAGGGTATGGAACTGGCCCGTTACATAGAACTTGAACTTGCCGGTCAAGCCCAACGTTTGGCTCACAGCTGTCTCTCACTGGCTAGGTCTTTAAATGGACTCAGTGACCGTTTCTGTCCTATCTAGAGCGGTGAGCAGTTTCTGGGTTCGAAACCCTGCGTGGCATTCTGTCTCTTAAAATGCAGGACAGTGCTCTCCTCCTGATGACGGACGCGGGCTTCGCCGCTTCCGCTGCAGACCCAGTCCTGAGCTGTGCTCCGTGCTCCTCCGCAGCCTTTCTCCCGTCTCTGCAGGGACTTCTCTTGTGATCCAGTTTCCCGCTGGTGGAGTGGAAGTGTCGGTAGA